TATTTCTTCTCTCTAGCACGTGGCTTCTACTTTTTAAGAATGTAACTACTCTGTTTAAATGCGGCGGGGAATTCTCTTCTAAAAGCGAAAGTAGTAGTAGTTATTAGCGCTTTCATTTTCCATCAATAGGTGTCACTACCTGAAAATGGCTTGGCAGCATGAGTGTGGCTATGTAGCCTACACCTTTTTGACAATAATATTGCACTCACGCCTTTCAAAAGAAACACAAGAATTGCTAAAATTGCTAGTTAACAGCTTACCAGTCTGACTGATTGTGTGACAGAAACAAACACAAACCAGCACAGACGCGGCGCCTTCGTATTGCATGTTTGAACAAGTTGCTGACAAGTGAGTAACTTGTCACAAAAAATTGTTTCGGTTTAGTATGTACTACCATTTTATTATAATCATTTTTATAACAATATATTGATGGGAAAAAGTCGATAAAATAAATTCAATTTTAGAAATGCTTGGCTGGCCGCATAAAAATGTTTGTTGCTCACTTCTGCTGTGGAGGCTCGGTGGTCGCGAACTGAAACCACTGCTTTTCACAATGTCGTTTTGCTTGCTTTTCAAATAGGAATGTTTATTTTTACCCGGATATATATAAGGGGCTTTGAAACCACAGAGTTATTTTATTACTAAGCAATGCATGCACCTGCCCAGTGAAAAGGACTTTCTTTTCTAGAGATTTTTCTCTGACCTCAACACACTTGCTTCCCAAGCTAGTATTGTGATTTTGTAAATTATTTAGTGTGGTTTAAATTAAATGTAAATATACTTTGCTATAATTAAAAATAGATATCGCGTAAAAGTTTTATTTAAAAATATTTTGGGATGAAATACGAATAAAATAAATATGAATGGGAAATGAATGATCCGTAACAAAGCTGAGAAGACCAAGCCCCTGCCCCCATTAACATGATAAACTACAAATTTCATGTGCCAGATGAAAATAAACTAAATAACGCTGGACATATATCAGTGAAATTTAGAAGATCCAGGCAGTGTACATTTTGTAGCACAAGGAAGAAACCTCATAGAACAAGATACAGTCAAAAGTTGTTAATCCGGACTCGTCGGGACTTCAGAGATTCCCGATTATTGATTTTTCCGCGTTATAGATCATCAGTTTAAATCTGGTAAGATGGCATGCAGAAATTATAAAATTAAAAATATGAAACCGTAATTTATGAAATAAAGAACAATGATAATCTAAAGGGTATCAAAATTTACAAAAAAAAAAAAAAAAAAAAGCTTAATATTTATTTGTTTACTTTATTAAACATTTCTTTCAATGTAAATTGTTTGAGTTGCTTAGTTTTATGTGCTAATACTTTCTCTTTAATTCTATATAAACAGACATAATTTCTTGTTCAGTTACAAAGTTCCGCTGTTCAAGTCCTGTAATTGCTGTGCCGAGAACACCGACTAACTTGTCAATCGAAATTTTTTCGTTTTCACTAACCTCTCTGTCACTTTCTTCATGCCTTTATCCATTTTTAAAAAAAAAAAAAAAAAAAAAAAAAAAAAAAAAAAAAAAAAAAAAAAAAAAAAAAAAAAAAAAAAAAAAAAAAAAAAAAAAAAAAAAAAAAAAAACAAAAAAAAAAAAAAAAAAAAAAAAAAAAAAAAAAAAAAAAAAAACCAGCAGCAATTCCACTTTTTGTTTGATGGACATCGAAACATACTTTCGCTTTGTAGATCCTTTGGGAGCTCCAAGCATCGGAAATTCTATTTGACATAATCGAAAGTTCAAGCTTACTTTTTTAAAATTGCTCTAACAGTCTGCAAAAAATAATAAGCCGGATCCAATTCGAAGATTAAGGAACAACGCAATCTGCAACATTAACTGAAATAGATAATTAGATAATTTTAGCTTAGCTTATACGGTCCGTTATACATTAAACACGCATGCGTAAACGTATTATGCGTTTGAGCACACGCATATGCGCAGTGTGGTATCTGTAAACCTTCAAATTTGCAGCTATCATCTTCATAATCATGGAATTAAGCATTTCCCAAGCTTTCTGGGTAGTCGAACTCTTACCATTTTATTTCTAACCATTAATCTTTATAATGGCAGATGTATATTTTTATTTCTCTCTTCTTCTTCTTCAATGGCCAGACAGCCCAGGATAGGACTTTGCTTTCCTCAGAATTGAATTCCAAGCTCTTCTGTCCCTTGCCATGGACATCCAATTGGTTATTTTTAAAATTCTCAAGTCTGTTTCCAAACAGTCGAGCCACCTAAGTTTAGGTCTCCCTCTTATTCGGGTGCCAAATGGTCTGGCCGAGAAGATCTTTTTAGTTACTCGATTTTCATCCATGCTGCACAAATGTCCTGCCGATTTAATTCTCTGAATCCTTATATATTTTACTATATCTATTTCTTTAAAGCATTTATAGAGTTCAGAGTTAGTTCTTCTTCAGATATTGTTACATTTTATGCCACCAAATATACTTCTCAAAATGTTTCTTTCATAGACAGAAATAATACTTTTAGCTTTTTCTGTCATCGCCCAGGTCTCAGCAGAGTATGTAAGAATGGGTCTGATTAAGCTTTTGTAAATTAAAATCTTCATTTTTCTGCTAAAAGTTAGACTTCAAGTATTTTTTTAGACTGAAAAAACATCAGTTAGCATCTGTAACTCTACTACGAATCTCGGGCATTAAATCATTGAGAGTATTAACCTCTGATCCTAAATATTAAAATTTGCTAATAGTTTCAAATTTGTAATTCCCAATTTCAAAATAGGGTTTGCTGTTATCACCACATGGCATATATTTAGTTTTATTTTGGTTGATTGTTAGATGCATTTTGCTGGCTGCAGCCTCTAGAGGTGTAAAAGCGTAAGTGACTCGGGACTGCATGCGACTATGTCAATATCGTCAGCAAACGCAAAAATCTGAAGAGATTTGTTAAAGATAGTTCCACGAGTATTAATGTTGAAGTCTTATGTCTTTTTTGGAGTTCAAGGTTAAAAAGCAAGCCGGCCAGTGCATCACCCTGTCTGAGCCCACTTGAAACAGCAATAAGCTCGGAAAGATTATTCTGGATTTTAACCCTAAGTTTTGTCTCAATAAAAATAATGGTGACCAAATTTATAAGTTTTTCAGGTATTGCAAATTCTCTCATAGCTTCAATTAAATATTTTCTGTTTATTGAATCGTAATAGTCTTAAAATCAACAAAAAGGTGGTGCGTTGCAATGCCATATTCATTAGTTTTTTTCAAAAAATGCCTAATGTTAAAGATTTGTTCTGCTGTAGATCTTCCTTTGCGGAAACCACATTGGTAATCACCCACAATATTTATATTTTTATTTCTGTACATATTTTTAAATGATCAGATATTTCATATGTATTTAGAAAGAAAAACCTGAAATTTTTTTGGATGGTGCATTTTTTTAAAAATCAGTTTTACCAATAACTGTATTCTAACTCAGTCAAGGAAGGATTTTTGTTTCTTGACAGAAATCTTTTAGAAAAACTAAATTTTCTGTCTTGTTACAATCTCGATTTTTTTTCAGCTTTTAAAAAAAATGTAATGACAAGTGAAAAGATCTATCATTTCATGAACAATTGAACATTGTTATCAAGTTGCTGTGTAGAGAGAATGTTATCAAGTTGCTGTATAGAGAGAAGAATTCTTTAGTGTGTAAGAAATATGCTCTAACTTCGTCTAGTGTGTGAACTGTCTGGGGAAACAGAGAAACAATTAACTGTGCACTTAATGAGAAACCAATGAATTCTAAAAAATGGGGGGGAAAATGTGAGAAAGAATATGTCGGCAAAGCTCTGTCGTGGTTCAAAAATCAGCAAAGCTGGTTTTTCTGTAGGGACAAATTATGAAATTTGAAACTGAAAAAATGTGTTGCATATATGCAATAATAAGAGGTAGGATCACTTTGAAAGCAAACATAGCGCACTATATGTAAAATTATCTGGAGAAGACAAGGAAACTATGTATAACTGTATTCAAAACACACAAATAATATTTATATGCAAATAAGACGAATTTTTTTTGCAAATTAATATCTTATAAAACCTTTGAATTTAAGGATTAAAACAGTAAAATGGCAAAAGAAAATATGAGTGTTTTAATATGGCAGGAGTTCAAAAGTAGAAGTTTGTTTGTTCGTAGTTATTCGAAAGTTCAGTTTATGATGCTTCAAAACTGCTAAATGCATTCCTTTCTATTCACAACAAATCAGAAAGCCTGGATGAGGTCTAAAGTCTTCTCTAGTATATTAATAAAATGGAATATGGATTATTCAAAAAATAAATTAAAGTTCCTTTTTATTAAGTTGCTCCTCATCGTTTTGTGAAAAAGTTAAAACTTATTTCCCCCATCCCACTAAATGCAACTGTAGTTTTATAACCACTTGTTCAGGAAACGGAAGTTTCATATGTCTTTAAAATGACTTAACCTTGCATCTGAATTAAAAGATTGAAAAAAAGTTTGAACCAAAGATATATTTGTTGAATGCTATTTATCTTTTACGTGACATGTGGAAATGGGAAGTGATTAAAATTTTATTGTTTTTATGTCACAAATATTTTTCTTATATGCTGGATATTTTGGCTTCTTGTATTAACCAAGTACAGTTATATTTGACTTTGTAATTTCCATAGCAACATTTATTAATGTTTTTATTTTATATTTCTTTAAATCTCTAAATTTAAGGTGAATGATAAGAAAAATTCTTATTATATATCTTTAGTATAAATATATTATTTTGTGATTATTTACGTGTATTCTTAGCATCTGCAGAAATAAACTTACTATTATCACTTTTTCCCCTTTTTTTATTGTTGATAATGTCTTTATAGCATAACACGTTTAGGCAAACAAAAGCCTTTTATAAATATTTCTGTTGTGCCATATTGTTATTAATTATTTTAGAGCTATAATTTTACACACTTATTTTTGTGCATTAAATATCAAAATGCAGATTGTTCATTTTAATAAAATATATTGTATTACACTAAATTATCTAGGTGATCATTATGATGTATGTGCCATATGTCTAGAAGATTATAATGAAGGAGATAAGCTTCGGTTACTCCCATGCTCTCACGGTAAATATGCTTTGAGATCCATTTGAAGAAATGAAGTACTAGTCAAAAGTTAATATATGTGTATTCCTTTTTGCTGAATTTAGCATTGTCATATTCTATCTGAATTTTACATATAGAGAGTATAGTCAGAATTTATTTATTCATTTCTCTTTTCGGTAACAATGAGACATAAAAAAATGAGGGTAAATCTTTTGAATGAGCACAGCAGGCAGCTTATTAGATGCCTGTAGTATGAGAGAGCATATTCTTATGATGGAGAATCCTTTTATTAGTGAATTTTTAATTTGTGGTTTTATCTGAATCATGTATAAATTTGAATGAGTTCTCAGTATTTTGCTTTGGAAATAATAAAATTAGCTAGGCGGTAAATCTGTTGGAAGAGGATGAGTGGCAGCTGCTGTATTATTAAATGACATCTTTATTATTAGATGGTAGTTAGAGAGGAGTTCTTGTGATGGAGAATCCTCTTATTTGTGCTATTTTTTTACGTATACCCGCATATTGTATTCATTTAGAACTCAGCATTTACAATCAGATTTCAGTGTGAAAGAAACAGCAAAATTTATTTTGTTTTTTATCTGATGAGATTTTGTCATAAACATCTAGATTTATATTGAGACCAGTTGTTTCCATATTTGGAGATATCCATAAACCCAATTTTCATCATAATTTCTGCTGTTTCTGACCTGGTTTTGTAGCTTCTAACAGCATGCACATGAGTAATCATAACACAAACTTGGCAGTGATTCTCTTCCAATTTAGGTTGTCTAATTAAAATTCACTTATATATTGTCATAAGACAATCTGGCAGTTTCATAAACAACATGGTCAACATGGCCACTTTTGTGAGTACGAGTGTGGCAATCGCGAGGTACCCTAGCCCTTCAGAGGATCATCTTCTTGGTGAGATGCGTGTCCCAATCCTGAAGCCCCAGTAATCTATCCCCTCTTCCATCTTCTCCTCTGAGCTGAAATTTTTTCCTTTAATTCTCCCTTGCAGTTATCCTCTTTGGAGGCTGGGGGCTTGTCATGAGAAACTGGAACATTCCTTGTCTCTAGTTCTTGAGCGGCGAGAAAACTGTCCACATGTTTGCCGTGCGTGGAGACCTGTGTCGCTGGAAAGGAGGGTTCTGGTAGTTGAGGGTGAGGTACTGTCCCCAACACACTGCTTTTGCCTCTGCTTCAGCTAAACAGAAAGCACCTTGTTGTCCTCACGATTTTCAATCGGCTTGTCACTAGTCCTTGTGTCAATGGCTTGGGGATAAGCTCTGGGGAGTACCTGCTTTCGAGAAAGCCGACTGTGGGGCTTCAGTGTACGTATATGTCTGGCTAGTCCTAACACAAGAATCTGTGTTCCCTTGTTGGGCTCTGTGGTGGGTGGGACAGTTGAACCTGAATCTTTATTTCTATTAAATATAGTGAATTCTTATATATACCTAATAAAAGACTTTGAGGTCAGTCAAGTAGTTACAAGCACTAATTCTTCTGAAAAGTCAACTGTTAAAAAAGTACGTGCTGATGCAGATGGGAGCAATTGTAGCAATAGTCCACATTTCCATGTAGTCTCAAGCCCTTCTGGCAAAATGTAAAACATATCTCCATTCATAATTAACAAGTATATTCATTCTTTCATTGCTGAACCAAAGAACATAAAATGTCTTCGCTCTGGAGATTTCCTTATCAACACAACTTCGGCCATACAGTCTGCCTCCCTTCTTCAATTAACTGAACTCGGGCAAATTGATGTAACCATATCAGCACATAAAACACTTAACATTTGTAGAGGCATAATCTCAGAAGTCGACCTTCTGTCTGTTTCTGAAGAAGAGTTAGTTTCCAAGCTAGCTGGTTAAAAGGTGTGTGCTGCCAGGTGGATTAAGATGTGTAAGGAAGGTCAGTTGACACAAAACATGTGATCCTGACTTTCAAGTTGCCTGATCTGCCTAAGAATATTAAGGCTGGATACCTCAATTGTCCTGTACCCCTGTCTATTCCAAACCCGATGCGATGTTTCCTGTGCTGGCGTTTTGGCCACACTAAGATCATCTGCCGTGGCTAACTCACATGTGCATGTTATGCTTAGTGGTTGGCCAAGATAGTGACCCATGTACTGTTGCCCCACTGTGCATAAATTGCAATGCACCTTCCTCACACTCATGTCCCAAATGGAAAACAGAAGGGGAAATTCAGGCTATTAAAATTGCGAAGAATATATCATATACAGAAAACAGAAAGATAGTCGAAGGCACTTAACCATGAACAGGGACGTCATTTCCTAGTGCTGCAAAATCAACGCAATCTGTTGGTATCCAAACTTCAGTGAGCACACAAACACCAGCATTTAAAACCCAATCCACAATAAGCAAGCCCAAAATAGACAAACTAACTCATGAAATACAGAAAACAGAAACAATAATCCAAAAGAAACAAAAAATCTTACCAAAAAGGCAACAAACAAAGAAGTGTTAGTAATAGTTCATTTGATGAAATGGTTTCAGACTCCATTGATTCAGATAACATGGAAGTAAAGCAAGGGTTAGAAATTCCCAAACATCTACGAGTATTTCCACATAAAACCAAAATGCAGCTCCATTTTGTATGATTATCACTATATTTTTCCACCCACTTTTGCTCCAAACTAGGGATAATGCTATGAATGCATTCTGCATGATTGTACTTAAATTGGAAAATATCATTGGTACCAATCACAAAACCTGGGTGGTTATTATTGTTTATGATACTTCTGAAAAAAAAAACCATGTTAGTTAATTTCTAGAAATGTAGAATGTGTGTATTGATATGGAGTATAGGAAAGCAAGTATAAAAAGATTTTTTTTAACCTCACTAACCCCTACATTTTTTCTATCTTAGAGTTTCAGTTACAAGAAACAATTTAAATTCTCCTTCAGTTTTCTTACATCAGCTGTACCATAAAAAGTAAGCAAATTTTATTGAAATGAGTATGTAAAAAGAAACAGAATTTTTCCCTGAAGTTGTAAAATGTGTTTTACATTTTCAGGAACAGTTTCATGAAAAAATTGTTAAACACAGTATTTATAATTTAAAATGAAATATTCCATGTACAGTATATAGCTTTTCTTTTATAGACCTCCAGGTAATTTAAAATTTGTAAATTTAAATATTTGACATCCAGTTTTTCATTAAACATGTTTAGTGAAATATTTCTTATCTTTAGCATATCATGCCAAGTGTATTGACCCTTGGTTGATGAATAACCGGCGTAATTGCCCGCTTTGCAAGCGCAAAATTACATTTGGGGATTCTGCGGATGAAAGTGATTCTGAAGATTCTGAGCTTACATCCCCTGCTGAGAATACACCTCTGTTAGCATCACCAAGTAACAGAGAACAATCTTGGGGTACATTTGCAGTCAATCCAGTGCATACAATAAATGATGGAGCCATTGGGGGACCATCTTCATTGTCAGATACATTTCAATACTCAGACAATTCCTTTTTACCTGCTGATTCCACTGTTACCATCGAGAGCCAGAGTGAAGATGAACACTTTCCTGCAGAACCACTGGTGAACAATGGGAAGGATACTTTAGTTCCAACTGCTGTTAATTGTTCAAGTGCTGATGTAGATATCATAAATGGAAATCAGGAGGGAGCTAGTGCAAGTGTGTACCATGGACTAATTGTCTAAGGAAAAGAGATTTGGTACCTCTTTCATATTTCCAATATAATTTTTTATTAAAAAAATAATTAACTGGATGTGCTTTAATATCACATTTGATAAGAATTAGTTAAATATCATGCTATTTATTTAAGCAGATTTTTTTGTATGATATATGCATATATCATCTGAATTATTTTATTTGAAAACATGCAGAAACATTCTTAATTTTGATGTAGCTATGATGTATATATAAGATTTTTAGGAAAGAAAAGAAAATGTAAGTATTGTTGAAAGGACTGCATAAAATGCTGTTAATATCTTGTATTGTTACAGTGATTGTTTTTTAATAATAAATATCAGTATTGTTTTTATGCATTTGTTCGTTTACTCATATATAATAACCACATATTTTACAAAAAAAAAAAAAAAAAAAAAAAAAATCGACATGCTCAGAATTGTGCAATAACTTTTTATTAATTATTATGTGCATAAATAGATGATTGGAGGGGGGGAAAGATGTAAGGTGTAGAGCAATGAAGTCAAGCCAAAATTGCATTTGAACCAAATGCATGTACTGATTTTTTTCTGAAATTAATGAAAAGGTTTTTAATGAACTTCTTAACTACAAAAATCTTTTCATTTTCCAAAACAAAAAGATTTTTTAATGAAACAAAATTTCATAAATTTTATTTACTAAATATTTGTTAAAACATATGTAAACAGCAGTAATAATGATGCAATAGAAAAAGAATCGAATTTATTTCCTCTGTGAAGTCTGAACATTGGTATCTGCAAGAAATTTCTGATGGTTACACTTTGTAAACGAAATGTAGTGACAGCTAAATATTAAATTTTTAGACAGAAATGTATTTCAAATAATTATAATATATTGAATAAACCAATAAATAATATACTTAACCCTCTGGCTGATCATCCCGCGATTTCCACAGGCAACTCAAATGCAGCAAAATCTGCTCATCCCGCGATTTCTGAGGGTATGTGTTTTTCTTGCTTTATTGAGGAGTGCATCCTGTTTTTCCCCCGTTTAACCACTGAAATAAATTATATACAGTATTAGACATTTAGTTTACATTTTGGCCAACAGATACCATTAGTTGTCCACTAAATTGCTGCGTTTGAAGGCACGTGGTGTCACCGTTACTGCTCAAACTCCACTTTTTTCTTACAGAAATGGCTGCTAAAAACATTCAGCAATTATCTTGAATATTTAATTAAATTAATAATTAGATTGATTATTAATTAAATTTATTGAATCTAGTGCAAAGACTGTGAAGTTGGACTTTGCCTTGAACCCTGTTTTTGCACACTATCATTCTAAACTGCATTTCTAAGGTATTTTTTCCTCAGTGCTTTATATTTTCTTAAATTTGATACATTTTACTTTTTATATTATGCAATAAATAGAAATTAACTGTAATTCAACTGAAAGTTATTTAAAAAAAATTTTTTTTGGTGATAACATCTGAAATTGGTTTTTCTGGCAACTTAATTTCTCATGATAAAAATCTATATAAAAAATATTTTCTAGAAAGGAAAAATGTATTTTCAATTCTCTTATATATATAGATTTAAAATATGCAAAAAAAAATTACACAATTTTTGAAGCGATTTCGGTCTACAAATTGAGCATTCAGAGGGTTAACCTAAAAACGAACCAGTTCGTAAAACTTTCGAAGTGTAAACAAAGCTTGAAAATAAATTATGACAACCTATTCTCTTTTCTTTTTCATTTATATAGAAGTTTTCTTTCACACATACAGAAAAGATACGTATATTTGTATGTAAATAATTTTAAACTTCTCTATTTCTTACTACAACTTTCAGCTGTAACACCTGATGATATTTTGGTTTTTATAAAGTGTGCAACATTGGATAAAATTGCCAGAAACTATCTATATGCTGATTGCTCAATCTGATTCATTTTTTAGACTTACTGATTTTTGGCTGTGAAAAGGAAGCGATTTGCATATAAATGTACTGACAAACAAAATTATCATTCTTATTCAACTGAGGTATTTATCTTTTAAAATGTGTGAAAAAAGTTGGCCAAATCTATATCATCAGATCTTTGAATATGATCTATATCACAGTATAAATTAAAATGTTGGAACTTAATCCAAGATTCTACTCCTTGTCATAATAATTTAAATTAATTTGCAGAAATGTATTCACAGTCTTATAAAATATTACAGGCTGCCTGTTTTAAACCACTGATATAGAACATATTTAGTATAAAGCATAGTTTGTGTATATATATGTGAGACTAGAAAGTATGCCCTATTTTATAGGGAAATGTATTCTTTAAGACTGGGTTATTGAAAATTTTACACAAGAGCAAGACCAGTGTGACATTCATAAAACATCTCTTGAAGTAGAATGAGTTTCTGAAAAATGAAACTACTTTAAGTTTTTTGTGCACAGTACTTGTTTTTACTGTTTTTGCAGTAAGTTCCTTCCACCCCTTAAAAAGTTTATCTGGTAGTAGGATAATAAAGTATCTTTTGGGTTTTATTTTTCTATAATTTTATTCAATGCTGTATTCATGTGCAAGAGAGTCAGACCAGGTAATTTTAGTTCACATCTAGAAATATGATGTTTTTTAATGCAATGTAAGCTGTGTTTTAAATTGCAGTAATTTTTCTCAGAAATGATCAGCACAAATCGTGCTCAATTTCTAAAAGTATTTTTAGCCTTTCCTGTTGCAAAACAGTGGTCGTTTCAGTTCATGATAGTGGAGAAGGAAAATGTTTTCAATATCCAGTTTTAACAACCCAACCACTCCAGCAAATTTTAATATCTCAACCGGTGCTGTTGAAAGCATGGAATTATGTAGGATGTGGAAGATGTTCAAGCTCACTTTCATGCTCTTCAAACTACTTAGTCTCCAATTTTATGGTATGAACTGATGAGTTGCTATCCTAATATGTGATATGTTCTTTGGAGTGCATAGTTTGAAGATTTGATTGAATTTGGTCCTTCAGTAATCCTTGATATCAAGAACAATCAGTGTTTCTGGTGACTTCCATGATAGTGCAAACCCAGATCCTAGTCTGTCTCCATGCTTCACTTTGAAATACTCAGAATCATGTGCCTCTCTCTGACCTGTGGATAAAGTCTTCCAGAAGGTGGGCTCATTTGTACAAATTTTGCATTACATACTATCCAAGGTTTGAACTCCTGACATTGCTAAAATCATAATTTAGCATGGCCATTGGTTATTAATTGCTCTCATGTATCCTCATGACAGTAAGTGTTAACCCTGTGATGTTCCTGAGAAGCAGTTTTTGTAGAAGTTGTTAAATTCAAGAGAGTGTTAAGTGTTCTGCCATGATCTGAATGGCACTGTTTTAGGTTTTTTTGCTACTATTTATTTTAACATTCTAGCCTTTTCAAATAACTTCCTGTTACTTCTCTACTTACTCCGTTTAGATGGAATTCCTTTTCTGGGTAATCAGGAATGATGCTAGATACTATAATCTTCAATGCATCAAAAAGAGGCCTGCTCTCTCGATAAGAAGACCACTCTGGATGAGGCCCGGAAGTCTGCCTTTTTATAACTCCAGTCTCCATTTATGTCTTCCAGTTTTTAGTGTTAAAAAAAACTAGTACTCTAATACTGCTGGAAATTCAAACTAGTACTGTTGATAAAAGTTCAAAATCATTCAGAGTCCCAAATGAAAGGGCTTATATTGCCTAGGTATTTCATTTATATATCTAATCCCTGTATTTATGCTCACCCTCTTTCTTTGGAAATTTTCTTTAGTCTTTGGAAATTAAAAACATTACTTTAATGTTTTACATAGATTAATTTAAATTTAAAAGCATTATGATGTAAAGTTTGTGTTCCTTACTATGATATATAATATAAAATATAATAAATCTCATCTAAAAGGATCACCCATGCTTCCAGATGATGTTCCAAATGTGGTGGTATTAATATTGTATTACTAATGAAATTATAAGTTAATTACAAAAATAAGTCATGAAATAATGAAAAGACAAAACTTCGGAAAAAATATTGTTTTTTTAAATACTTAAATTAATATTTTAATGAAGAATAGGCCTCATTATGATATATTAATTATACCCATTAAAATACAGTGAAATTTTCTCTCAATTTTCTGTATTCATTAATTACTTCCTTTTCTGAAGAAAATCATTAATTAAATTGATTATCTGTTGTTTTTTCTCTCTGCAAAAAACTGCAAGCAGGATCTCTAAAAGCTTTTAATCGTAATATTGAATTTAATATTTTGCTTCTTGTTTCATAGTCTCTCTCTCTTCTCTTTTTTTTCTTTCCTTTTTCTTCCCTTCCCCCACCCTTTAATTTGCAGGAGAACCCCTGTCATAGATTTTTTACAATGGACCAAGAAGTTAAAACGGATAATTGGTTAAAACAAGCTTAATTACAGTTAGTTTTCAGGAAAAAGCATGGAATTTGTAAAAAATCTCGAAGAACCAATTAAAAAAAATTATGGTAAATAAAAAGTTTTTAAATATTTTTAGCCGGCCCTGTCGAACGTTCCCTGGACTAACGCTAAAGGAGTGCTAGTGCAAGGGGAAGTAATGCTGCAGGAGGTCATGTGTTATCAGTGCTTTAAGAAGGATTCATCGCCATAAGTCTCATATTAAGTTCACATATGGATTCTATATCTATCTGATCTCTGAGGAGAAATGGAGATATGCTGTCTGAACAGATCCATGGACCCTTTCTTTTGTAATGTTCTGAGGTCCTTACCTACACAGGGCAACACCACTGAGAAGTCTTACCATACTCTTCTTATTTCTGTGGTATTGCACAGGGCTGGTGCCAGAGTGTGTGCAACTGGTGGCAAAATTTTTAGAATTTAGGAAGGAGCCAAGCACAGAATTTTGGAGTCATGGAGTTTGCAGCAGGCAGCAAAATGTCTAGTGTTGGTCCCATACCTACAGTAGCTAACAATAAATTTTTAAAATATGGACTTTTATATTTAGTTAGCAACTGGATAAATTCATACATTTAGATGACAGTCACAGGGCAGCAAGCTCATGTGCAATCTGTTTTGCTATCATTAGCTTGCTTCTTTTTGCTATTAAAATTATACTACTATTTTCCAAGTGTTTATAAGCTTATAGAAAAGCCTGCGGGTGGCAGTAAGCAACTTGGTTCTCTACTGTTTCCACAAGCTAAAAAAGATATTTTGGGATCTACCTATTGTTTTGAATACTTCTGATTGATTCTGTCCCTTTTCCATTGGTCCACCACAGTTGGTGTGAGATGAACAAGACCAACAATGTAGTTGGACCAGGTTTGAACCCTTTTTTGAATGAGGCTTTTGCGAATTAGCCCCATGTCTAATATAAATAGAATCAACTGTCCTTAAAAATGCAGGAATTGACAAAAATTAAATAATGTTCTTGTTATGAATGCCAATATATATATAGATCATATTTTAGGAATGCCTTCTTAGATTTAATAATAAGAGAACTAGATGTAAGATGCCAATTATTAATTTCAATCTTTTTATGTATTTAAGTTTTATGTGTAGTATTTTAAGTAACAATAAAAATATCTTACTAAGTAATTATTGTTTTGAATGAAGAAGATAGAAGGTAACAAATTCTCAGAAGTGGGATTCCCATGGAAGAAAATATTAATGTATTTCATCAGTTAAAGAAGTAAATCTCTATCTTCACAATAAACTGTTGACAAATCATAGGATGAAGAATATGGAAAAGTCAAAAAATGAAAACTGCTTTTAAAATTATAATTTAAGAAGATGGCTGAAGTAATAAATTGGAGTTCAATATTTTGATTATCATGTTCAATGTTTGTTGTTTTGCTTGAAGTAATAAATGTTTGATTGTTAACTTAGATTTATTTATTTTATACAACTAAAAGCAATGATTAAATAAAAAATGAGGTAAACCTTTTATGCAAGTATGTTTTATCCATTAGCTTTAGGAAATGTCCCATCTGTGAAAATCAGTTGTATGTATTTTCTATAGGTGCTGCTGAAATTGTGCACCATATTTTATTCAAAGATCAGCATAGCAATAAGAAGCAACTACATAGTTTTAGTGGATGTTTATTAGTATAGAAAATTCAAGTCTTCAGCTGAAGATGAAAGATTAAAGAAAAATAAATAAATAAATAAAATATAAGGATGTAAATTGTTCTGAAGCATAAAGATGTGAAATGGTTCTGAAACTATTGCAAAGAAATGAGAGAGATGCTATAAAAACTGAATAAAGAATAAGTACGATATAAATACACAATAAGTATGAAATAAGCGCTCAGTAATATAAAAATAAGTATGAAGTAACTAATCAGTAATATAAAAAGTACAAAATAAATACACTAGGCCTTTCGTTACCAGGTGCAGTCACTTGGATTCCTAGAATCTGTCACCCAGTTAACTCCAATTAATTTTACAAATTTTGCCGTCCAGTGCGGCTTCACCTGTTGCAGACGCTCTACCGCCTGCCCTGTACACATAAAAGGTACCAAGTAAAGAGTAAGCATGAGTACACTATCGATAATACTGCGTATACTCTGCTGTAAAGTACAGTGACTCTGTTGTGTGACAATACATACTCTGTTACTGAAATGAACGTATTTTTAATTTTATTTAATTTTTATAACCGTTTTTAACTTTTTTTTATTTAAACATTCTGGGATTAAAGTTACTTGTATTTTGTTAACAATGTAATAATTCGGCATATACCCGTACGGCGCGGCGGCCTAACACGTTTTTTATTTGCATAATCTTTACTGGCAAAAATTTTTTACACATGGATTGGATACAGTGTTTCAAAACCTGATTTTGATCAAATTTTATGCAAAGTACAATTGCTTTTCTGTGTTCCATTTTACGCCAATTTGGCTGTTTTTCGGATGAGGATTTCCCCTATTGCTTTGCAACCCTAGCGGAGGAATACAAAAGATAAGTGATCTGTTCAGCCACCCGGCATTCTGGAAGTAGTTACGTGTGTAACTCGTGAAGTTGGTAATCGTTGGTGGAGTATTTTTGCATTTAAATAGAACTTTTTATCAATTATAATGTCGTGGCAAGCCTATGTCGACAATCAGATTTGTGCTGAAGTCTCCTGTAAAATTGCTGCCATAGCAGGATTACAAGATGGTGCTGTATGGGCAAAATACGAAGATTCCAATTCAAAACCGGTAGGTTTATATTTTCAAGTGTAACGTCAAATTTTCTGAAGAAGTTGGTCACTGCATCTTATGTAACATGTGATTTTGTGACATTTATCAAGATGTCATTTGTGCCTTCATTCGTTTGTAACTATAATAAGCCTAACGTGTTTGTTGCCGAAAGTTGTTAGCAATTAGCCTCCTCAGTCGTGAGTTGTGAATATTAAATGGTCTTGTTAACTAAATAAAACAAATTTTACTGAAAATATGCCATGATTTCATTGTAGGTTACTACTGCTTCAAGAAATATAAGCTTAAATATTTTACTTTTCCCCCTAAACGCATATGCAAATACCGGTGTATTCAGTTGAGCTTCTTATTAAAGGTCTAGTTAAAAGTTTTTAAGTCTTAATTCCATAATGAAACGCCCAACTTTCTGTAATCGTATTGCATATGGTAGTGAAAATCATAATCCAAATGATTGTTAATTTGAAAAAATGGTATATCCCGTAAATGGCAGAGGGAAGATGTAATGCAATATTATTATCCTTATTTAAGTATTTTGATTAATGAATTGTTTACAGGAACTATTTTCATCTCACTTCCTTTTATGTTGTATTTTTTTAAGAACTGTATTTTAAAATTAGTAAGTTCAATCATGAATCATCTGATTATGCAGAGCCATGAATTATTGAAGGTGTGTAGAGTCCTAATTTAGATTTTTAATAAATGACCCGAGCTGTTAATTCAAAATCGAGATTTATTATCTGGTAATATGTAATTTGGAGAAGAGTAAGAATTTGTGACTAGCTACCTACAAAAAGCTAGCATTTCATGCTTTTCACCTTATATCAGTGGAATATAAGTGTTGATTTAATCACTTGCCCACCGCTGCCTTAAGTGGAAGACTTATTTTTTTGAATTTTTAATCTGGTACCACTCCATAAAAGTGGATTTTTTTTTTTTGTGTGTGTGTATGAGTTGTGTTTGAACAGATAATCACATTTTTAGTTTATACTCAAAAAGAATTTAATAAGGAAATTAAGAAAAATAAAATTGTTCCTAAAGGTAAGTTGAATTTCAACATGTGTAAAATTTTTTATTCCCGTATAAGGAAGCTTGGAATTTAGATAATAAAAAAAGTTTTGGTAAAATCCTAGTATACGGTGCAGCCTTGGCGTGACTTTGAAAATTATCGCCAACACCAAAAATGATCCAAAGAACGTCTATATATATACTATACACTATATACTATGTGTGTATATAACATAGTATATACTATGTTTAACTATATATTTTCTTTGAATGACCCGTTAACTACTCATTGCAATGTCCCGTTTTTACCGCTCATCATAAAGTAGCCAAATCCCTTGTGCACCGGATACTAGGATTAAACCAAAGTGTTGAATTTTTTATGCAAAGTTTTCATAAAGTATGCTTAATTCTTCATAATTTTCTGAAAATGTATTGATGTCCAAATTTAGTTTATTTGTCCACATTCATTTAAAAACATACAGTTGTTAGATATCTTTTTTAAAGTGATTTAAAGAGGAAAGAAGTAGTCAATGAGGTAAGAATAGCTACATTGTCTAGAAGACATCTTAACAGCATAAGGATTTTACATAACACATAAAAAAACATGCGTAAAAAACGTAACATAGCTTAATTAAGTCTAGTAGAAGACGACGTATGTACTAAAAGTAATAAATTAGCACAAAGTGCTATATATAAATGATAGCTTAAATTATTTCCCATATCTTTAAAGTTGTATCTAAATTTAATTGTTTGTCTCAATTAAATTTTTTCTTGAATTTCATTAATGTAAATTTTGTATGCATTAAAATTCACCTAAATATGTTAGCCGTAAAAGTCATCTAGAGTAATTCTTTGCAAGTTTCTGGGATGAATTCAGTTTTCTATTTTAAATTCAAAGAAGAATAATTCTTCATCAAACTCTTAAACTTAAGATGCTCCAAATATTTTACTTTGCATTTTGATTTAATTATTTATGGTATTTTCTTATGACTTTCTAAAACTCGTTAATTTCCCACGAGTAATGCGTTTTTTTTTTTTTTTTTTTTTTTTTTCATGCATTTTTTACAAATATGTTAATTTGTAAAATTATGCTCTCAACCATAGCACTTGCGAAAGACAGAATTTCTTAGCATAAAACATCCGTTGCTCTATGATGTTGCTTTACAAGCATTTTACTTCTTTTGATAACTTTTCCAGTCCCTGTACTATGTTTAAATATACTAATACTTCTGTATTTCTGAGACCAGCGTGTGTCACATAAGTTTAGAATATTTACTGTGTATCTTCTTTATAGAACAGATTTGCAAAAAAAAGTTTCACATCCTTTATAGTAGCAATAGTATTTCTGTTTTTCGATGCACAGTTCAAATCGTTCACAATTAAATTTAGTTTGTGACTGGCACAGTGGAAAAAAGGGCTTTATTATACTTCTGTTGCAAGATCTTCTACACGCGACTAATATTCCCTGTCTTAGTTTAACATCCATTGTAATCTTATCCAACACATTTACTTGGATCAAAACCTTCCCTCCGAAAAATGTAATTCATTTGCTACAGTTCGAGCATCCATTGCATTTAGTTCAATAAATCCTAGAAATTCTTTCCGCACAGCCATCCTTTCTTCATCAAATACCAATTGACAATTTGGTAATCTTTACCAATTGACAATTTGGTAATCTTTCTTCATCAAAATATCAATACCAATTGAAAGGCAAGGGCAAAATACTCCTTCCCAAATATATTGCCTGTTTCTTCCATTATGCTTTAAGAAGAAGCTTTTCTTGCATCTTCTACTACAGTGTCTTTCACCACCAATCCATGCAAATTTCAACAATTCGTTTTGGATTTAAGGTGATACATAAGTAGCATTTCTCGAAATGTCTTTTAAAACTTTTATCTCCTGCTTCGATTCTTAAGATGAATCAGGTCCTAATAATTCCCTTCCTGTTTCGTCTTGCCCCTTACAGAGAGGTCATGGGTTCCACAAAATATAATTGCGTAAATTATTGATGCTATTACGTTTTGATTTTCTTCCATTACTTTTTTGTGCTCAGAAACTAGTCTAATATTTACAGGTTCATTTTCTAGAAAATTTTGGAGGCGATTACTGATGCTTTGTGTCACTGATTTGAAAAGTCATTTTACAAGCTGCATGCATGACACAATAATGCATGAATAGTTTAATAATGAAGGAGCTCAAAACAACTTGCATTGATGGAGAAGCAAGAGGGAAAAGAACACAGTTCAAACGTAATGCTCCTTTTACACTTTTTGAATATGCAAGCCAGGAAGCACAAGTCTTTAGCCACTTATGTCTAAACTTTCTTTTTGGATGGATAGTATCTGCTGCAAAATCATAATTTTAATCGGGTGTCCTACAACATTTTGATATTTCCATCTTTAGATGTGTGGCCATTGATGACGAACACCCCTACCCATCCTCACAAATCATGGTTGCAACCTTAACCCGCGAGGACGTGGGTCGGGCCTGCCAGTCTCAGTTGTTACAAAAATTTTGCCCGTTGGTGAAATTTATTGACCTTCTCAGTAGCTGCGTTTAAGGTCATCTATGTGTCATTCACAAGCATTTCCAGAATTTATCCTCCATCTTTTCTAAGAAACTGAGTAGCTGGGCTTTCCAGGCCTGAGGCACGTGCTCACATTGTCTTTAAAATTATGAAAGAGGTCAGGCAGTTGCAAAAATGTCTCACTATTTCAATTATGACAAGAAAACGAAAAGCTTACAGAAACTATTAGGCAAAGTTTCAACTGATGAAGATTCAGTTAATGAAGAAGACGAAGAAATAGTTGATGAAGAACAGTTTAGTGATCACCAGTCGAATTCTGAAGAGGCATTAGACTCAAGCGATGAATCTAGTAATAAATTCAGTATTTCTGTGTCCGCAAATTGTTATCTTGGCAAAGATAGCCTTCAAATATGGAAGATAGAGAGATTCTCGACCCACGGATATTACAGAAATTGGAGCATTTATTGGTTTTCTTTTTTCTTTTTTTTGGAGGACTGCACAATGTTTATCACATAATGTTGCGACCTTTGGACGACTGACAGAACAGGGCTTGACATTTTTCATCGAACAATGTCTTACAAACGTTTTTTTTTAATTCAGATGAGTAGTTTGAAATTTGATGACATAAGAGATCATACTTCTAGAACAGAAATGGATAAACTGGCTCTGATAAATGTTTTTGAAAAGTGCGTTGAAAATTGCAAAAACGTTTAGTCTTGGCAGAGTCGTAGCTAGGGTTTTCAGCGCCCAGGGACAACTAAAGATTTCACGCCCCCTACTGCTTGCCAAGGATGGAAAACATTTAATTCTAAAATGTCATAACATCAGTTTGGCGCCCCTTATATTCTGCGCTCGGGGACAAATGCCCTCCTTGCCCCACTCTAGCTACGCCCCTGAGTCTTGGAGAATACGTCACAATTGACGAAAAGTTAGAAACCTTTTGGGGAAGATGCTCATTTCGTCAATACATTCCCAGTAAACCTTCAAAATATGAAATTAAAATTTTTGCTCTAGTGGATGCAAGGGCATTTTGCACTTAAAAATCTTAAAATTTATGCAGCAACCCACAGGGCCGTATAGCTCGGAAAATGGCCCTGATAAAGTAATCAAAAGGTTTGTGGAACCTATTTTGAATTCAGGGCACAACCTTAATGTTTACTACTGGTATACCAGTTATACCTTGGCAGAGGATCTCCTTGAAAAGAAAATTATGCTCATGGGAACTATCAGAAGAAATTAAAAAGAACTGACAAAAGATTTTACTTGTGGCAAAAAAAGAGAAGTATATTCATCATTATTTGGATTTCAAAGAAACACAACAAACAAAAATAAATGCGTTGTTCTGTTGTCCACCATGTGTAATGACAGTGCCATCGATGTCTCCACTAGAGAAGTCAAAAAAAGAAACTTTTTATGCTTTAACAAAAGGTGCTGTAGATGTAGTGGATTGAATCCACTTATACTACTG